CCATTCTCCAGAAGTTTTAGAAACGGTTGACATTTACACCGATCTCAGAAAACAAGGAACCATAGTCTTTAAAATTTAAGATTATAAAATATTTTTTCAGCTGGCAGAGTAAAGGGTAGGTTAGTACCTCAAAAACTAAGCTAGTATCATTTCAACATAATCGATCGGGTTTCTTCCGTCATGATGAAGGGCTGCGATCTCAAAGAGGCTCTAGCCTTTGAACACAGTTTCACTCCAAATTTCAAGTGGATCTATAAAATCCACAGCTAAAGATGCTGCAAAATGTAGTTGAATCATTCTGACGTGTCTGACTCTATGTGCAAAGCATAATCAAAAGTCAGATTAGACCACAAATAGAATATATGCTGCCATACCTGGTCGGAGCTACACAGTCCTCACTATTCTTTCTAGATCAAACTCGTTTACGCGGTCTTACGAGAGCAGATGCAAAAACGAAAAAAGAAAAGTGAGAAGAAAAGATCAATTGTAAAAAGAGAGAATCTATGATTGTCAGCGAAAAGAAGATCCCAACATGTGAATTACAAACTGGAGATGCCAAAATGAAACAAGTACAGAGATGAAATCATCAAACAAATTGTTTTAACAGAGAACAGAAAATGTGACATCTGAAATCCAGAGGCGCATCGGTGCAGTGAAAGATGCCTTCCAAAAGCTAAGCAACGAATCAAGAAACCGGAAAATCATCTTTACTAACAAAGAAAAGTATACTTAAATGTTATGTAACACCGGCTTTCCTATATGGTAGTGCATGGTGGACAAACTTGAGGCAACAGAAATATGGTTCTACAGAAGGATGCTGAGAATATCATGGATTGAACTTGTGAGTAATTGTGAAATTTTACAGAAAATGGAAATAAAACGGACAAATATACTTAATATCTGAAATAAACAATTTAAATTTCTAGGGCACATTACGAAAAAAGTGGTTTATAAAATTTTACACAGCACAAGGAAAGAGGGAAAGAGGAATGCAGTACATTACATAGCAAATGAGCTTGTGTAAATGTTTGGTAGAAAAGAGATTAAGAGAGACAGATAAAAAGATTAAATTCGTAAAGGACAGAAAATTGTGAAAAGCCATAATCTCCCTCATCATGAGAGGCTATATCACATAGAAAAGGAAGAAGAAAATTGATTGACTGATTCATTAATTTTTATGGATTATCAACCCTTTGAAGGTTATTTAAAGCCAGAATATATCTTTAGATTGTAAGAATATTTTGGGAGATAATCATGGTTTAGTGGTACAAGTCTTACTAATTAACTCATAGATGGGAGATAAGGGATTGATTCATATCTTTCCCAAGGTAAAAAATCCAATGGAAATTGGAACTCGACTCTCTGATTAACAATCCCGAGTTACTATCCATTATAGGACCCGCGCATCCAAGCTTACGGTATCTGGTATCCCTAAACGGTCACCCATCTAGGTACTGGCCAGGGTCGACGTTGCTCGATATTGGTATTTCAGAGAATTAAAATGTGAAAAATTAAGCTCATTACTTGAATCGAATTCAAAGTTAAAATCACACAGAGGATAGAAAAACATACCAGCATATGCCAGACATAGCTAAACATAAACGTCTTTAGATTTGAAAGCAAGTCTTTAAAAGAATTGATTTCCTTCTCAATCATAACATTTTACTGTTTTAGCTCTCCGACGTGGTGTAATCGTTAGCAATCTTGTCTCGCTAGAGCAATTGCGACTGAATAGTGAGTTCGATCCTCACTGAATGCCCCATATTTTCAGCCTTGTGCCACATCTACGATACGCTTAGACAATTAATGGTCACATCGAAGTGGTGTAATGGTTAGCAAACAATGACCACTAAGTAGTGAGTTAGATCCTCACTGGGTGCCATATACTTTCGGCCATTTGACACATCTAATCTACGCCTAGAGAATTTTACCGTTGAATGATGTCATTTATACACTACTTAATTACTGTTCCCCAAATCTTGTAATTTCCTCTTTCATTTGATCATTATTGGAGAACTGTTACTCTTATGTCTATGTTATTGGTTACAGGGGATCAACCACCTTTCGGTTCAATATGAAACTTGGCAGCATTCTGTGTAAAGACGTTTGACTAGCCAAAACTACTATGACTCACCTGAAAGCTTTCACGGCATTTATTTTTAATTGTAATTCTTCTATCAGCTGTAATGAAACCAACTTCCTGTTAGGCTTCAGCCTCTTTTACAGCAGCATCTTCCCTACCACTAAGGGGCCCATCATCAAGGTCAGATTTTTTTCATCGCTTTAAAATTACCAATAACTATACTAAACAGTCTACTTACTGTGATCAAGCCATTTCATAAATATTCACTAAACTCCTATGAATGTTTACAAAACGTTCCGATTGCAAAACGAACAGTCTATGGACACTCATTTTGAGTTCTCCTTCCCTCCAGGGGAGCAGACATTTTGAAAGAGGTTTATGGGTAAGGAAACATAAGGAAACTCTTTAGATTTGCCAGTGGTCTTGTAGACAATTTTTTATAGTTCGTAATTATGGCTAATTACTTTAAAATTAAATTAGAACTTGAATTACATTTTGAAAATCTTTTTATATTTGGAGATTGAAAAAAAATCTCAAAGATCGTAAGAAAAAGAATAAAATAACAAATTATCTTAGTAAGTATGGTATTTACTGAAGCAACATAATTATTGAAATAAGCAAAAAAATATTGAGAGAGCCGAAATATTGAAGAAGATTATTTTCCTTCAAGCCTAACGTGGTGCACGGGTTTTACTGATGCTGAAGTTCATTTTAACAACGGAAAACAGTAATAGTATCATGTAAAGACAAACGGATTAGCTCTCATATTCGTCTTACAAGACATAAAATTGATCTTCAAATCACCCAATCAGATATGCACAAATTTCACTCGATCGTTAATTCGCAGCAGACGACAATCCAAGAAAAATGAGTCATTCCAGCATTTCAGTCTCATGACGCTTCCCAACAGCATTCACGGCAGGATATCCGGAATTTAGTTCTGCCACACCTTTCTGCCTATCATCTTCTTCATCGTCAATGACTTGGTTATTTACGCATTGACATTGAATACAAATATAATTATTAGTATTTGATTGCACCAACAGAAAAAAAAAAATCTTAATATTACTTATTTCGATATTTGTCTATATTTCTGAGATGAGGTATTATGTACACTATTTACATTATTCGGACTATTGTCCTCATCTTTGTTGCCATATTTATTACAATGTTTCGGTCCTTCAGTATCTGTCTATATTTCTGAGATGAGATATTATGTACATTATTTATATTATTCGGACTATTGTCCTCATCTTTGTTACCATATTTATTACGAATTTTTGACGCGTCAGTATCTGTATATATTTCTGAGATGAGGTATTATGTACACCATTTACATTATTCAGACTATTGTCTTCATTTTTGTCGCCATGTCTATCACAACGTTTCAGCCGTTGTACCCTCCGGCCTTCTTCAGGTGATTGGAATGTCGAACTGAACCCCTTATTTCGCTCACTGGGGTAGACTATTGGCACAGTGGATAAAGGCTTTAGTTAGATCCACTGACAGGACCCAAAGAGTGCGAGTTCAATACCCGGTTAAGGCAGTGGAGATCTTGGAGAGGGGAATTAACAGGAGATAACTGATAGCTGGCATCCATTAAACATGGCACGTGGAACTAGAACAGTCTACGCCAGTGAGCGAAATAAAGGGTTCAGTTCAATATTCCAACCACCTGAAGAAGGCCGGAGCGTACAACGACCGAAATGTTGTGATAAACATAGCGACAAAGATGTGGATAATAATTCGAATAATGTAAATAGTGTACTTATTTCTATGTTATCATCACAACACATAATAATAATGCTGTTCAATAAATTTTTACAAGGTAAAGAAAATATAAACATTATAAATTTTAATTATCACTTAACATCAGAATTTCTGCAAAAACTTTACACGTATTAACTGCATTACATGGCCCAATGGATAAAGGCATTGGTTAGATCTAGTGACTAGACCCAAAGAGTTGTGAGTTCAATACCAGGCTACAGCAGTGGTGAACCAATACATGGAGAATTGAGTTAAAGGGAAATAACTGAGACATCCGGTAGAGGCATGGCACGTGGAACAAGAATAATCTACCCCGGTGGACTAAATAAAAGGTTCGGTTCAAAATTCCAACCGCCCGAGGAAGGCCGGGGCGTACAACGGCCGAAACGTTGTCAACATGGCAATGAATATGAGGATAACAGTCCGAGTAATGTAAATAATGCATGCAATACATTAGTCCAAGTGTTGGGTAAAAAAAGGAAAAGAGAAAAGTGCAAGGAAAAAAGGAGAAAAAAAAAAAAAGAAAAAGGGAAGAGGAGAAAATACAAAAACAACTGAAGAAGCTGACTATTCACAGTTTGTTAAGGGAAATTGGTACAAATATTTCCCCTCGTATTCCATTAGTAAGAAAGAAGTTCCATTCAGGCCGTTTCTTCCCAAGAATTACTATTAGTGAAATAGACTCCCGAGTGGATAATTCCCCGATAGATGCAATCTTAATTTCTTCAAGTGTCAACTGTTTTTTTTCCTACATATGCTCATAAGCGGAAATATCAGCCAGTGTATAGGAGAGTACTGACATACTGATTGATTTATTTTACAGCTTATCAACTTTTTGGACGATAGTCAATGCCTGAAAATATTTTGAATTGTAAGAACTTTTATTATTTGTGGGGTTGATAGTAATTTACTGATACAAGTCAAACTAATTAACCCATAGCTGAGGGACGAGAAGATCTGGATTTATATCTATCCCAAGGGTATTTGCGCGTAAGTCAATATAACGAATCTGTCTCGAATTGGAAATCGTATCTTACAGCACATGGCATTGCCAACAGGTCACCTATCAAGGTACTTGACCAGGCTCGACGTTGCTTAAAATCGGTGGTCACAAGGGAACCGATGTTTCAACCTGATATGGCCGTAAGCCTGCTGAAATACTGAAGAAACTTACTATTTACAGTCCATTCAGGGAAATTGGTACAGCTATTTTCCCTTTCTGTTAGTAAGAATGAATTTCCAGTCGGGCCTCTTCTTTTCAAGAACTGTTGTGAAATAAACTCCCGAGTGGATACTTCCCCGATCCATACAATCTTAATCTCATCAAGTCTAGTGTCAACCGTTATCTTTCCTACGTATCCTCATAATCTGAACTTCTCACCCCACTCGACTTACGTTCGTACACCAACCTTATTCAGTAACCCTCTATCTTGAGTAGTTTTGGTGCTTATGTATTGGGGGAGTAAGAAGAGTGAAACTAATATGACGACATTTCTACAGGCATGCTGATTCTTTTGCAAAATACGAAGAAGGTTTGTGCCATTGAGGCAAGAGAAAAAAGAAAGGAGGAGAAAAGAAAAGAAATAAATAGAGAAAAACAAGAAAGAATAACAGAAAAAGAAAAGTGATGAACAGCAAAAGAAAAAAAAGTTGATAGTGTGTCGTCGTTGTATTCGCAAGACGCTTACAATATTTACTCGCGAAATCTCCACTTCTCATGACTACACGAGTTGATATAGAGTATCTCTCGTCCATATGCAAATAGTCAAACATATCTGAAACGGAAGGTAGTTATGTTAATGGTTGGGCTCGTTTTACGGCATATCAATCTCAATGGGTTATTTAATACCGACAAAATTTTTATTTCTCTTAATAATTTTTCTTCAAAAATGTATAGGTGGTCATACTTGTTTTTATTTTTAAAAATGTATTGCTGATAATAATTTTTTTTTACAAAGTATTTCTGGTATTAAGACCTATTTTTACACTTATATAGTGTTTTAACCCCAGTTTAGGGGCTAATTATTTACCCATAGGTGCTACCATCCCGGGTCAGAGTGGACTGGGAACACCAGCAATTAAGAGGTGGTTACACAATCCTCAAAACCACTTGATCAGAGGCCTTGCTGCTGGACGCAGTTTATCGTCTTACCCAGAACGCGGATATAGTTTATTTAATGCCGACAAAATTTTTATTTCTCTTAATTTTTCTTCAAAAAAGTATAGCTGGTAATACCTGTTTTTTTTTTTTTTAAATGTATTGCTGGTAATATGTTTGTTTTACAAAGTATTTATGGATTTAAAACTATTTTTACACTTATATAGTGTTTTAACCCCAGTTTAAGGGATAACTATTTACCCATAGTTGGGACCCTAACAGATGCTACCACCCCGGATCAGACTGGACCTGGGAACACCAGCAATTAAGAGGTGGTTCCACACTCCTCAAAACCTCTTGATCAGAGGCCGTGCTGTTAGACGTAGTTTATCAACTTACCCAGGACGCGGATGTAGTTTATCGTCATACCCAGGACGGAGTTATGTTAATGGTCACTCTTTTACTACTCCAATGTTCTGTTCTATTTTGGATGATTCCCTAGCACTACGTCACCCTATCCATTGATTCTTCTTATCGTATTTCCATTTCTGAGAGACACTGATCTGTCTCCTGTTCTTTTATATTCATGGCTATCTTCTTTCAATTCATCCTTGTCAGAAACTTCATAACTGTTTTAGAAATTTAGATACCCCCTCATTTTCATAGGCACATCCTGATTATTTCCTTATGACAATTCTTGGAAATAAGTCCTTTAACCTTTGTTCACCCATTTCTATATCTGTATTTCGGAATCTTATTTTATTATACAACTCGCATTTTTTTCTATGGTGACTATTAGGGATTTTTCCATCAGAAAATTTGCCTTTTCTGAACTTGACACCTTATTTCATTTGTACAATGCTCTTTCGTTTATAAAATACTAGCAGGTATCGCCCGCTCGCTATATGGTAATTTTTCTAGGAAAAATTAGCTTTTTTTTCTATGGGATTAATGTTCACTATTTATGAAATGTTGGAGGGGATGTGGAATATGACTGCAAAGGCAGAAGAAATTAATTGGTCGCGTGTGTGTGGGGGGTAGGCTTCTTATAGTTAAGGAAAGTTTTACAAATAGATGCCAACTTTTTGAAGGCCAAGTAAAATGCAAATTTTAAACACTTTTCTGCACTATATAAGACAATATTCCTGAAAAGAATATTCCTGAACATATCATTTTTTATATGAAAATCAAAGCAATCCCCGAATAAAAGAACACTAATGAAATATACTTTTTAAAATCAATATGCAAATTGGTTAAACCTGAAAAGTGATATTGCCTAGAAATCAATAATATATAATACAGATATTGAGGATTTAGCTTTTAAATTACCATGAAGTAGAGTCGGGGGCTTTTTAACTTTAGAATTCATAGGGGAATTGAACTCCAATTTCTCATTTATTCCTATAGATAGTGCCATTAGTGGAGTTTTGATTTGTTTTCCTATCATGTGCTAATGAGTTTTCTAGTCCCCCAGCGATGTTTTCTTTAACGTAGAAGCAATCTCGGTAGAAATATTTGTATTTTTCGCTTTCTGTCGTGGATATCATTTCAAGCCTATTTCCATAGTTTGTGCCAACCTTTTGATAGAGGATGATACAAATATTTTTTAATGAGTGGAATTTTCATTACAAAAAAAATGCGCTTTGTCGGATACAAAGATTATGGGAAACCCATTTCTTAAAAACACAACGCTGAACACGCGTTTCCCCGTAGAACCTCTTTCGTCCAACACACCATTTATGCCAGACTATCTTGCAAAAGAATCTACCAGTATTAAGGAAAGTCCCCGCTCCACTGACGTATGTGTAATCCTGCGTCATGGCTAGCGGATTAGGCCATGAATCTAACCTTTGTCTAAATAGTTCTTATTTCTTTACATTTGAATTGATCTTTTTTTTACAGATTTTTCCACTGCCCTTAAATTTCTCGACCCAAGCTTCTAATATTAGCCTTTTTTGTGTAGCCACTATTCCACGACGGAGATCATAATATAAACTCTTTAATAAAATCTTTCTTTGTGAATCTGATTGTGTCACAAATTACTCTACTGTCTACCATCACTTTGTGACTTACCTCCTTGTAGGGTATTTCAGCTCGAGAACAATTACCTCATATCCTTCTCATTCTCCATTTTATTCTACTTAAAATTGGCTCTTGCATAATTTTCGTCAGCCATTCTCGACAATGATTAAAAAAACACGTCTCTAGCCAGTGTAGAAATGTATTTCCATGTTTTTCTTCTCTGTTCTCCTTATAAGATTGCAAATTTGATAGCGTATTCGCGTGTGGTATTTAATTATCTTTGACATATTCATTGTCAAAAACCATTGGCTAACAGTCTTATTACCCACATTAAATTCCTTGACGTTGTGACTTTAGGCAATTCTCTTACCAGATTAAATGCAAATTCTAACGATCTATGGAATGTTTTTCCAATTAAAGACTGACGAGTTCTTTTGGTCATCCATACAAATGCCAGTGCTTTCTTTTCAGTTTTTGAATAATTTAATTTAGCGTTCGTCAATCTTCTTGATAGACATTATTGAATCTCCTTGTAGCATTCCTGATATTAAATTCTCACTAGTGTCTGCAGTCGATGTTATATCTTTAGTTAGATCAAATATTTTCACTACTGGTCTATTAACAGGATTTACTTTTAGTTGATGGAAACTCTTTGCTAGGTCTATTCTCATACGAATTCCACGGTCTTTTTTTTTTGCTTAGCTTGGCAAACGGCGCACTTAGTTTTGTATATATCAGTAAGTATCATCGATAAAAATTTACTAATCTCAAAAGGATTCTAGTTTTTTTTTATTTTTTGGCTCAAATACTGTCATCATTTTTCTATAGCGCTTGATCTGGTGAGACACTCTCTTTCGAAATAGAATATTCCAAGAACGATATTTCACTGGTATTGTGTTCATATTGTTTTCATTTATTTTCATTCCCGAATATTTAAATCTGTAACACAATTTCCTTTCTTTCTTTAATTTCTGTTTTTGGTCCCAATGCAAACGTTGTCTTCATAGCACATCATATTGCCTATATCATCGACAACGAATTTTTCTAAGGACCTTTGGAAAATAGCATTATTCGTTTGTATTCCATACGGCATTCTTGTCTACATCAATAAATGTTGTGTGTTTTTTGCCGTCAATTCTTTGTAGATATTTGATGATACGCTGTTTTTAGGTGTAGCTTCGGAAAGATTTTCATTTCTACTATTGAATGCAACGCTACTTAAGCATTCGGAATTGTGTATGAATCTGAGCAATCTTTATGGTTTCATCCAAAATGAAGACCTTCAAATATGCAGAGATTCGAAGGTCTTCATTTACCTTTCTCAAAATAGTAGTAGACGATGCCCATTTGCTACCACCAGTTTTAACATATTCAAGAAGGCCCATTTTCTTAATTTCGCTATAACTAATGGTATTAACTATACCAGCAACTACTTTGTTTGGTAGTTGGAAGGAGTATCATTTTAATTCCAAACTTGCCTTATTTTTAGCATGCTAGCTTCTTCTTTATTCACAGTATTAAATGACTTCGTAGAATTATATCAATCCTGGGATGCGTATTATATTCCTTAATAATTATGGGTTTTATTTATAATCTTTTTGTCTAAGACATGCTATCTTTAAAAGATTTGGTTTGGTTTATTTTGTTTTACAGCATATCAATCTCAATAGATTATTTAAAGCCGACAAAACTTTTTATTGCTGTCAAAAATTTGTTTTGTCAAAAATCTGTTTCTCGTTCCTTCCAAATTGTACTGCTAGTAATGATTTTTTTTCTAAAAAGTATTACTGGTAATAGTTAACTATTTGCTCATAGCTGGGACCCTAACAGGTGCTACCACCCCGGGTCAGGGTTGATATGGGAACACTAGCAGTTAAGAGGTAGTTCCACGCTCCTGAAAACCTTCTGATCAGAGGTCTTGCTGCTGGACGTAGTTTATCGTCTTACCCAGGACGATCTTTGAAAGAATCCTAGCGTTTGTATAACTGAACCATCAGATTGTCGAAGTTGTAGTAGAAGTCTTTTCT